ATATATATATATATATATATATATATATATATATATATATATATATATATGTATATATATATATACATATATATATATATACATATGTATGTATATACATATATATATATATATATATATATATATATATATATATACATATATATATATATATATATATATATATATATATATATATATATATATATATATATATATATATGTACATATATATAAATATATATAAATATATATATATATATATATATATATATATATATATATATATATATATATATATATATATATATATATATATATATGTATATATATATATACATATATATATATATACATATGTATGTATATACATATACATATATATATTCATATATATAAGTATGTACCTATAAATTTATATATACAAATATATACATTTACATATATATATATATATATATATATATATATATATATATATATATATATATATATGTATATATCCTCACTCCATAGTATACATATATATAACCTATCGATATATTATAATATATATACCATATATATCTCTTTTTATATATATATATATATATCTACTCTCTATATATCTATATAGATAGTCTCTCATATATCTAATTCTCTCTCTATTGTTTCGGGTGTGTATTCTATATATATATATCTCTATCTCTCTACTCTACTATACTATATAATTATCTCTCTATACTATACTATCCTGTGTGTGTATTTCTCTATCTATCTCTACTATATAATATATATATCTCTATACTCTATCCTCATCTACTCACTCACATGTGGTGTGTACATTTCTATCTCATCTATGTCTATCTATCTCTCGATATCTTATATCTAACTATATCATATATATATCTATATGTAATGTATTAAGAATACTCTATATCTATATCTATATATATATCTCTAAATATATCTCTATGTCATCTATCTATCTAAATGTTTGTTCTATCTTCATCTATCTCTCTCATATATCATCTCTATCTCTCTCTCTCCCTACATCTATCTCTCTATATATATCCCATCTCTACTATATCTATATATCTATCCTCTCTCTCTCATCTCTCTATCTCTATCTATACTACATATATATCATTATGATATCTATCATCTCATCTACTCTATCTCTCTCTCTCTATCTCTCTCTCGCTCTCTACCTCCCTCTATCTCTATCTATCATATCTCTATCTCTATCTATATCTCATATCGATACATATATATAATGTATGTATATATACTATAGCTATCTCTCTCTATATCTATCTATATCTATATATCTCTCGCTCTCATCTATCTGTCCTGTACTGTATAATAGATATATATCATTATCTCTCTCTCTCTATATATCTATAATATATCCATCTCTCTGTATGTATATATATATATATATATATATAAAACACTATATATACTATCTATATCTCTATCATATATCTATATATACTCTCGTATCTATCTATATGTATATATTTCTTTCTATATGTATGTCTATATCTCTCTCTCTCTCTCTCTCTATCTATATATCTATATATCTATTAGCTATCTCTCTATATACAGCCCTCTCGATATATATCTCTATATATATTATATTATAATGTATATATGACTAAGATAAATATCTATACTAGTCTCTATATATCATCTCTCTCTATCTCTCCTATCTCTATACTATCTCTACTATATTATCTCTCTCTACTCCCATCATACTATCGTCTCTTATCTATCTATCCTCCTATCTATTATATCTCTCTTCTCTCTCCTCTCATAATCCTACTCTATCTGTCTGTCTCACTTCTCTCTATCTCTCTCTCTATCTCTATCTGATCTCTCTACTATATAGCTATCTATCTCCTCTCTGTATAATATCTCTACTGTCTGTACTCTCCAGCTATCTATCTCTCATCTCTCTCTCTCTCTCTCTATAATCTCTCTCTCTCTACCTCTCTCATCTCTCTCCTCTACTCCTCTCTCATGTCTCCCTCTCTCTCCCTGTATTGTCTTTACTATCTCTATCTCTCTCTATCTCTCTCTCTCTCTCTCCTCCTTCTCTATCTCTCTCTCTCCTCTCTCTCTCCTACACCCCCCCCTTTCTCTCTCTCTCATCTCTCTATCTCTCTCTCTCTCTCCTCTAGTCTCTCTCTCTTCCTCTCTCTCTCTCCCTCCCTCTCTCTCTCTCGCTCTCTCTCTTGCTCTCTCTCTCTCTCTGCTCTCTCTCTCTTCTCTCTCTCGCTCTCTCTCTCTCCCTGTGATGTGTCTTTCTCTCTCTCTCTCTAGTCTCTCTCTCTCTCTCTCATCATCTCTCCTCTCTCTCCTCTCTCTCGCTCGCTCGCATCGCTCGCTCGCACTCGCCCTCTCTGCTATCGCTCTCTCTCTCTCTCGCTCTCTCTCTCTCTCTCTCTCTCTCTCTCTCTCTCTTATCTCTCTCTCTCCCACTCTAGCTGCTCTCTGTCTCTATCTCTCGCTCTCTCTATCTCTCTCTCTATCTCTCTCTCTCTCTCCTAGCTCTCTCCTCTCTCTGTGTGTGTCTCTCTCTCTCTCTCTCCTCTATCTCTCATCTCTCTCTCTCTCTCTCTATCTCTTCTCGCTCCCCCTCTCTCTGCTATCTGTCTCTCTCTCTCTCTCTCTCTCTCTCTTCCTCTCTCTCTCTATCTCTCTGTCTCTCTCTCTCTCTCTCCTCCTCTTCTCTCTCTCTCTCTCTCTCTCCTCGCTCCTCGCTCGCTCGCTCGCTCGCTCTCTGCGCTCGCTCGCTCGCTCGCTCCCTCCTCTCTCTCTCTCTCTCCTCACTCTCTCTCTCTCTCTCTCTCTCTCTCTCTCTCTCGTCTACTGCCTCTCTCTCCGTCTCTTTACTCTCTCTCTCTATCTCTCTCTCGTCTCTCTCTCTCTCTCTCTCATCTCTCTCTCGCTCTCTCTCCTCTGTCTCTCCCATGTCTCGTCCCCCCTCCCCCCCTCCTCTTGTGTGGTGTCTCTCTAGTCTCTCTCTCTCTCTCTCTCTCTCTCATCTCTCTCATCTACCTCTCTCTCTCTCTCTCTCTCTCTCTTCCTATATCTCTCTCTCTCCT